TAGCCCACTTGTACTGATCTTTGCAGAAATCTTTTTTTTTATAAAAAATACTTTTAAGAAACGCTGCCGTATCAAGAAACTTGCATTTAAAACACCTTTGTTCCAGTTTTATTTGAAAAACTAACTAATAGAGCTTTACTAGAAATAACTTCAGCTTCCCTACTTTCAAGAAACTGATTTTTTTCTTTTACGAGACTCAGGCCAATTTGCCAAAAAAAAACTTGTTTTTTTAAGACACAAATAAGTTTTCGACGAGCCATTATAATCATAAGTCTGAATTTCCTCAATTTTGCTTCTCTATCTAGCACAGTAATTCAAGTACCAAGTTTGAACGACTTACAGCACTTGCTTCTTTTCCAAGCCAAAAGTGAACATTCCATTTACCCTCGTGGAATGTCTAAAAGAACCAAATATTACATCATAAGTTGTCACTTTTAAAGCGCAGATCTCTTTACCATTCTTGCATCAGTCTTTCAGGTGGGAGAATTGCTGACATTAACGAGATAACATTTCACATGAAGTAGCTTACATAAAGTACAATGTAGCAATCACCAACGTAGAAGTTGCCGTGCTCTTCTTTTGGCAGCTTTTCCAAGGCAAGTTTCTATAATTGAAATACTCTGCTGAGAGAACAGAAGTTAGGAGTGGAAGCTATAAATCAAATAATTTATCAAGATAAAACTTAGTGATGTTTACTTTAAATGTCGCACTAAACTTTCTCAAAACTTTTGTGAAATCTAAACCTTTATTCGCCATATTTGTAGCCCAGTCTCTTTTCCGCAATTCTGGAGTGCTGGATCCACTGCCTTTCGACTTGGCATACTGTTTACTGCTGAAATTTTAACAGCATTACTCACATATGATTTTGGAAAAATTAGCTCTTTCTTGGTGTCCAAAGTTACAATAAAAATCGTACTGCAGGTAAACGTCTGAGATGTCTTGAAAAAAAATTTTTTTTATATTCAAAGAACACATTTTGTCTGAATTTCGCAAACGTAGCAAATCAGATAGACTTTAGGTTTGCTCTTTTCTAACCGTATAGGAACAATGTATCATTGTCAATGACAGATGATAACGAAGAACTTTTTTTGACAAAGATTGTGACAAAGCCGCATGTGTTTGTGTGGAACATGCAGAAATGGTTTATTTAAACGGCCGTATTGCAATGGTCGTCCAGACAGTGAGAAAATTGGTACGTATATGTTGACACGATCGATTCTTCTGCAATATCTACACTTGATGAAGTATATGCTAACAGTTTCAAAAAAAAGAACATTTGAAGATCTGAGCTGAACAATTTCGTAATGTTGAGGGCCAGTACGCAATAACACTGATCGGCAGTTTCGATAAAGTATATAGTTTGTTAGGTAGTTCGTAGTCATCAAGGTTTATGAACCAAAAAAAAAAACTCGTTCCCAGTTGTTTGCTGGAAAGCATGATTTCCAAATACCGCCACTTAAACAGTCGATTACGAATTAAAATGACAAACCATGTTTTTTTGATAGTTTAACAGCCACTTCCGACTAGTCAATGGCCACAAAGTTGCCTAAACAACTGAATCCAAGAAGAAAGTAAGCCGAAAGTTTATAGGAGAAAAAAAACCGCACTTAAAATACTTGAGCATGAAACTGTCAATATTTTGATACGGGCAACTGATTTACTCTAAACTTTATTTTATAAAAAGCTTTTTAATCTTTAAGTTCAAACTATTGAAAAAATGCTGTCTTATTCAATGCCAACAAAAATAAACAGAAATTCTCCTTCCGTTTTAATACGTAAGGAAGCAACAAATGAAGAATATTTTTTCGTCTTTTACTACAGCTCTATTTTTGAGTCATAACAGAGTGTTTATGTCGATACAGGGAGCAGTTGTCTAGTGCTGTTCAACTGCTGTTAACACCTTATATTCCTAAAGGCTACAATGAGATTCGATGAAGCAAACTAATTCGTTTATTTTCCTTTCTGCTATTCCTTTGCTTTGTTCTTCTCTTCATACTGCTCAATATACTCTTTTGCCGAATTGATCACTGTGCTTGTTCAACAAATGCGGAAATAAAAAATGTTCATTCATTATAAAAATAAGATGACAGGGGTATAATTGTTGGGCGAAAATTTTAGTATTCAATGACTGCATAGCACTGTTTACCTTCAAGATAAAAATAAATGTACAACGTAGACCGAGTTACCGATAAGAAGATTCTTAAACCGCCCACCAACTGTAAAAGCGTTATGTTTGATACTTCAAAAACAAAAGCTTCCTGTAAAACTTACTCTGCAAACTGTTTTAAGACTGTCTTTCAAAAGGTTTTGCTGCCATCTCATTCTTCACAACACTTGACAAGGTTTTAATTGGAAATTGAAGTTATAAATGAAACTTCTATTCACAAAAACGAAATTGATATCGTTGTTTGTTGAAAGTTTTTAACATGTTATTATTTTGGCAAGGAATTTCAGTGGAACTAAGTTGAGCCTCTTACAAAAAATTCCGGAGCTCTTGCACTTTGGCGGCCGCATATATATTTGGGGCCGTCGAAGTGCAAGAGCTCCAAAATTTTTTATAAGGCTCGATTTGGTTCTTCCAAAATTCCTTGTCAAAAAAAAAAATGTATTTGAGGACGTCAAAGTACAAAGGCCTCAAAGGAGGCTCCCGCCCTTCTCCATCGCAACCTGCGACTAGACCGACGTTGCTTTCGTCACACTCTGAAACAGCCGGGGAGACATATCGATCGTGTCAACCTCAGCTGGCAACCGAGAAGTCCCCTTCTGCTGAGGAAATAATTTGCTTTGCAGTTAGAGATTTACAAACAACAGAAATTATAGACGGGTTTGGCCTTTTGCAAGAATGTGAAAACAGAGCAGTTGGTGAGGAATATGGAACAGCAGCATAAGACGGTCGAAACGATAATATCACGTCAGTGATGCAAAAACTGTTTAATTACCCAAGTTTCAGGTAAGCTAGACGGCGGAGGTAGTAGTGAGAAACTATGGATGGGTTTGGCCTTTTACAGCGACAGGACGGTAGAGAGGTTCCTGATGTGCAGCTCGCTCTGGTGGTTTAGAGTGTACTGGTGTGCAGTGTTCTTAATTGAACGTTGAAATGATTTTTGCTTGTCTTTTGCACATTTTAAAAGATTAGTTCCTGCTTTATTCTTGAGACCACAGAGGAAATCTCAATTAGCGCCCCTCAAATGAAAGGCTTTTCAAAAATTGGATGACTGCTTGCTGATCGATCAGGAGCCAATGAAAGGTCCCCAATTTCACACAACGCCACAATGCGGTGGATGGAGTTCCGCAATTGGTGACCAAAGGTGCAACAAAGCTTTGTCTTCATATATTGTTTTCCATACAAATTCATTCATGTACGATTGTAAGAGTGCCCTCCTCGCCCCATGACTTGATTTACGCCTCTCCTTGAACTTTTGCCATAGAGACTCAATGGTGTTTGTGTAAGCACCACTCTCAGGATAAATAAAGTGGAGACTGAGCTTATTTGCTGAACTGTCTTTTCAAGTCTTAGAATTGTGCGGAAGGTCTGACTCTGCAGAACCACATTATGCAGTTGTTGAATCCGAAACCACAACTGGAACCACTAGAAGCTGGGACGTTGCTAGTACACCATACAGCAGCTGGTATGCATTTTAAGATGTATATAAAAAAGAGAAGAAGCTGTAGCTAAGTTGCGCCGCCGCTGTTTCCCCTTTCCGCCTGCTGCTGTCCCCTTTCCCTTTACCGCTGTCCCCTTCACTGTCCTTTTTTCAACTTCCCCGCCAAGAAACTGTCAAGCAATTAGCGCGCTGGGGCCGTCAAAGCGCAAAAGTGCTTAAATTTCTTCTTCGAGCTTCCTTAGTTAAACCAACTTTCAAAAACTTTAAATTGGTAAAAGCAAATAAGATAATGCCGACAAAAATCTATAAAATGACGGACTTCTCAAGCTTGAAAAACACTTGTAAGCACCCCTGTAAACTTTTGAGTGAAAATAGTTTTAGCCAACTTGAGATCATCCCAGAAAGGCACTTGTATTTAGCTGCAAGCAACCTTACAAGTTCGAAAAATATACCAACAAGTTCAAAATTCATAAAGAATAGACAGAATGCAAAAAATGATCTAATTTAAATAAAATCAAAGCTCCCCACAAATCTTTCACTAAATGAAACTGATAGAGATATTGATCAGACGTTGTAGAATGTAAAAAACCTGCTTTATTAAGGCTAAAATTTCTCTAATTTCACAACTGGCTTTTGCGGTCGCTTCCAAAACTTCATGACTTTTTCATCGCTTAACTTAACCAGCCTCCTTCTGCAGAATTTCAGTGGATTTTTCTGTAAGTCGCCAGTCGGCAAAAATCACTCAACTCTTTTCAAGCTGACTTAAGTTTACCCCCTCCTTTTGTGCTATACAATAGGTTAATGAAGGCTACACAGTCTTTTTCCGAACATCTTCAGTTTTTACGATAAGTTACGCGAGCGTTTGTCTTTTTCTTCTATTTGGCCTTTTATTCTAGAAAATTTTAAAAGAGAAATGCTAACTAGTTTTCTTTTATAATCACACTTCCAGATCGAAATGTCGGTTTGAACGCACTTACAAATGTTTTATCCACCTTTCAGTGCGTTCCTCCAAAAAATTTTTTAGTTCCAAGCCAACAAGTTAAAACCTCAGTTAGCATTTTGTAAAACCTGACAAATTTCATTTTTTCAAATGAGTTTCATCGTTATAATAGCATTCACCGCAGCTTCAATACTTTATAGCTAAGCCACAAACTTTTTAAAAAAGCGTCTTGTTTTGAGCAACAAGCTTCTTTTGAGTTAAGCAATCAAGTAGATGGAAGCTTTAGTTGAAAAGAACAATAATTTTAAGACAGTTGCGTAGTCTTACGAATCAAAGTTTTCTACAGCACATCACTGCAGCAAAGACAGCAAAAAAACTTATGGCAGTTAACGATACCATCTAAAATAATCAAATCTTTGTAGAGCTTTAGAAATACATCACTTTAACTAAGGCAGATAATTTACTCGAGCAATTTCCTTCCCTCTTTTGCTGTTTTGCAGCGTATGAAATTCATATCTGACAAGTAATTGTAGCGTTTTCCTTCACAGGAATATCTACCGCAGTCATCCTCTGTACATTTTTGTGATAAAGCAGCAATGGCCCAAAACTTTCAGCTACTGTACCATAAGCACATAAAATGATACTTTTGAAACGCAGAGGTTTTCCCGTTCAAAAAAGATCATTATTTTTGTGCGAACTCAAAGATACTACGTTTTGTTGCATATCAACTGTCGAAAAAAAAAAGCAGCTGAAAATAGACTTCATACGCCTAACAGGAGAGAACCGAAAATGACACTCGGCACTTAAAACGATTTCCAGTAACACAAAATATAAGTTCAAGCACAAAATTTTCAGATAAACGTGACGCCTGAAAAGATACTGATAACTCCAATAAATAACTAAAAAAAGCCTATAGTACCATGTTTTCCTAAAGTGATCTGCTAGTTTCACAGAGCCCTGAAATTTGTGAAATTTGCTTGTAGAGAACTGTTGATAAAGTTATAGTTTCTTAGTAAAGTTCATAGACAACGTCCTGCTAGAAAGTTATAATAAAAAAAACTTGTAATAATTTATTGAAATATTTTAAAAGTGAGCGGTCTGAAAGATCAATTAAGAGAATAGCTAAAGTAAAAAAATAAAAAAGCCAAAGTTGTCTTTCCACTTCTATGTCAAAAAAAAGTAGCACGCTCCTAACTGTACTTTTTAATCCGGTCCGGTCGAAGCAAGAAGGTTGACACAACTTTTTTCAATAGTTCAACTTTTAGAAAGGAGGATAAAAAGTTGTTGTTTTCAAAAAGAAAAGTTTTTTGTAAAATTTTCCGAATTTCTTTTCAACCAAGTCAAATATCGTTGCTCAATCTTTCGAGTACCTCTTCAGCTTGCGCGCAGAAACAGAAAGTCTGCTCAAGGGCTGCATTTTGCTGCGCCAACGAAAAATTTTGAATATAATTAATAAAAGAGTGGAAAATGTAAGGCGAGCGATCAAGTGAGTGCGATATTAGGTGCTAAATTGGAGAACACTGCAGATAATAAGGAATCTAAAAAAGATGACTAAGTTAATTACCAAATGTGTTCAAAATGAAGTTTCCACAACCTGAATTACTTTTGGTGTGAACGACGAATTTTTACATCTTGAAACCAGCTTGCTGCATTACAGCAAATATACGAGCAAGGAACAGATAGAATTTGCAAGAAAAGCAACAGACAAAACAAAGCAACGACTGGAGTCTTAATCTCATCACATCTCTCTCTCTCTCTCTTTACTCTCTCTCCGTTTAAATAAATAGACTCAAACTGTAAACTTAGCCTCACCAGAGAATGACTGTTTACAGATACGCATAAAAGAAATTGATTGGAACAGTAGAATGGAATGATTCAATTCAGCAGAGTCATGAAAATGTCAAAAATCAGGTATTTGAGAGACGGAATCAATTTGAAGCCGACTCAGAAATGGGTACCTCAGATACAGCAGCAACGCATTGTTTACAACTTTAAAGAAACAGCGCTCAAACAAGTGTGCTTCACCTACGGCTCACTGTAAAACGCTTTGACAGTCGACAGTGCATGCAGCTTTATTTCAGTTGTGCTCACTAATGACAGTTAATAATAGTTCTTCATTTACCCTTATTATGCATGAGACTGCCGGTTCTCCAGCAAAACTGTTGAAAGACCGACGATGTGGCGAAATCTCTGACACAGTACACTGACGAAAGAGAATCTGTAAGCCGCTTGAAATGAAATTTCAAAATTCCATGAAAGCATCAAGTGTTACATTACCAGATACACTATACTGGTTAGCCAGAAATCTGTAACGTATTTTAAACGAAGAAAAAGCCATTAACTTTTGCACTTCCTGTACTAACACTTACTTTTTTCAACGACAGCCTTGTATAACACTTCCATCAACTACAGCAACAAAATTTGATCTTAGACATGACACCATAACAAATCTTACTGCATTTCTACTAAACAAAGAAATAGCGAAAAGATAGAGCACAAAAAACTAAAACGAACAGAAAGTTTGCAAAATAGAAGACATTGTTTAGTTGGAAAACCAGCAAATTTCCAAGTTGTTTTTGCCATTTCAGTTGCAGTTTTCAAATCGTATTAACAGCATTTACTTGGCTAAAAGGACTGAGCGATTTGTCATATTTTTTAATTATTAGCAAACCTTCTCGCTATTTGAAGGTATAGAGTTGCACTGTTGAGAGTTGACTACTATTTGGTTCAGCTTCTGCAACTTCATAGCCTCTGGTTCTTCTAGGAATTTCATTTCTTCCTTGAGAGCCCGTTTCTAAATCGGAGTCATCAGCCCTCTCGACGCTCGCATTAAAACACTCATTACCAAACAACGGAATAGCAAATAACATTAAGTGCAGTCACTAGGAATAATCCAAAAATAACAGAACACAACACAGCAAGCTTACAGATGCCAGGTTCTTGATAATCAGCAAAACCCGATGCGCATTCGGAACTATAACTCACATCTACCCGGCTTGAAACTCGTCCCAAAGTCAGACTGATGAAGTATTAATTTCCTCTCCATGAGAAGAGATCACACCGGAAAAAGTTTGCTAGAACCACCACGTCGGCGACAGCTGCAACGAAGAGTTACCAGTCAAAGTAATAAAACAAGTATAAATTGCATCTTCTTATATTAGAATCCTTAAAGTTACTTCTCTTCGAAAGGATTGTAATCAACCCAGTAGACCTGTGCAAAAAGAAGCAGGATCATGAACTGATGGACATCACCAAGTCCCAGTGCAAGAAATCCGTAATAACCTTTGACTACATCTTTACAAAGACCATATAGAATTCGCAGTGCAAGCATGTTACGATCCAGAGGTAGAGGAAGTTAAAAAAGAAACAGATTACCTAAACTATTGTATTCAGTTCACAGAAAATCTTGTTAGTAATCGAGCACTAACAGGATCAACCGCATCATATCAGGACCAGATCGACCAAATGCTATATGATATGAAAAACACAATGCAGGAAGCGGCTCACAAAGTTGAAAAAACCATTAAATCAACTCTATTTTAATGAAAGCAAAAGTGGCTTTTTCTTACCGCCACTTTGATAATTCTATTCTCTGCAGCTGCAATCTATACTTCAGAAGCAAAACCAGTCATTGACCCAATACTCTTGGTATTTTGCAAATTCCTAAATATTCTCATTTCTCCTTTCGCAAAGTACATACGATTTCTTTTCATCCGCCCGCAACCACAACCATAATTGGCAATACGTTACTCATTCATCAAACACCCGCCGGAGACAGGTGAGAACGTACCATTACAACCGATTCAATCTTTAACCCAAGAAGTCCGCTTGGCAGTCACTCACCAACCAGAACGCCAATATACTCCTATCCACCTCAAAGTACTACCAACGCTGCGGTCCAGAAGGTGCGTTTGACTCAATCGACACTTCAGGAAACGCGAGAGAAGAAAGAAACTAGAACAGCGGAAACCAGTCAAACCAGGAAGAAAAAAAAAACAAAAGAAGAATTTTTGAAATTTTTGGAAATACATTCATGAGCGACTAAACACAACTGTATTCGTAATGTTATGTCCTTACTAATCTGTAATCTGCATAGCTAATTGTAGAAGTTCTGTTTAAAAACAAAAAAACAAAAAAAGAGGAATCACCATTTATAAATCAATTATCTTAGTTATAACATGCTGATACCATACTAAATCTCCATGTCATTTAGTCATCTACCTCGTAGCTTACCAATTATCTTGCCAACCGAGTCAAACCTCCCATCTTAAAGCTTAAAATGAAGAAAACTGCAATCTCCGGCATACGGAAATGCGAAAGTGAACCAAGAACTTCGACGACTGCTATTCGCTAGTCTAAAATCAATTTCTTTAAGCGAAGTAAACGGTTACATATCAGCGCATTACATACCGGGGTATCGCTATTGAAAGAGGCAAAGACTTCAACGACAGAAAACAGTTACAGTACCCAACCATCGAGCTCTGGGAGTGTTGCTAAATTAGCGAAGCAATTTGCTACCAAAGAAAAAAGAAAGATAAAGAAAGGGCCCAAATAACAAGATTAATGAGAAAGGATTGCATCCACACAAAGAAGCAGATGACTCCTGTTATGAGCCACTGCAATTAATGGAGAAGAATTAAGACCCATCGCTTTGTGCCAACAAAAGTCAACACGAATGCTTACGACCCAGCCAACAAATGTTCCTTCCTCCGGTATCAGCAAGACAATTGTAAGCAGCTTTCAAATTCTGGTTGGCAGATAACCGGTAAACAATTTTTCGCTTATAACTAATAGCCATTATAACAACATCGTATAATTAACCTCAATATTACAATATATTTATTATATGATTAATTCTTTTTATAGTACTTTGGGTAAAATTCGTGAGTATAAGAAGAAGATAAATTCAAGATCGGGGCTTCTGCTTTTGCTTCTTCTCTTTCTTCTGCTTCTTCGCTTCTTTCTCTTTCAACTTCCTTGGTTCCTCAGGCAACAAGAATTCTTTCATGTACTCATCAGTAACCCTAATTTGCTAAATATCTACTGTATTGTATTTGGAAGGAAATAAACTTTTATATTTGCAGAATTAAACTGCATAAAAAATCCGCGTGGCAGGACATTCAGAAGATTTCTTCTATCTTCATCAAACATATTAAAATTATATAAACATAGTTTTTCCACGACACTTACTGCTTCTCCTTTTGATGTCTCCAAAACAATTTCAATGCGGAACGAGCCTTCTTCTATTATTTTTCTGACAGCCAAGGCCGTCTCATCAATCTTAACAACTTTACTCGGTCCGCTTAACACAATGCCCGTTATAGTAGGAGGCGTATACATTCCGGAATGTCTTAAAATATGAAACAGTAGTTGAGGAGCTTATTGTACTGCCAATTTCATAGCCCGTGTCCAATGCAATTTTGTCGTACACCGAAATGCGAACCTGTGTCTGACAGTAAAATAAACAGAAAATTTTTTTCGGTTTCAGAATTCTCCTTTCGAAAAAAATCTTTATTTGAAACTCCACCTTTTTCCTGAAAACCCTCTTTTTGCATTGAAAGTACCTTCTCCGCACACTACCGTCTTTATTCCTATCGGTATTAAGGGTCACATCGCGGCTTCAAAAACAAACGCGCTGAACGAACAAAACCCCAAGAACTCAAAGAAAAGCAGAAACTTTTCATCAGAAAAAGTTAGCTTTTGAAGAAGATTCTAATGGCCAAAGTTAGCTGGCAACCAATTTGGAATTTTAAGAAGACGCATACCAATTATCACTTATTTGGTGGAAGACACTGAGTTACATCCAAGAATAGCAGAAGGTAATTTTCAACCTCAGGGATATGCAAACATAAATGGAATTTCTGAAGTTTTACCAGCGAAAAAGCTGGATTCCTGCTGGTAATGGAACTAACAACCACTATCAAGTATGCTAGCCCACAGTCACCTACGCCGAATGAAAATACTACAACTACAAACTTTATGGCCTATCTAAACAGTTTTGGTGCGATTAGGTAAAGAGGAGGAGAGGAAAGAAAGCTTCTCGAGCTTCGTACACTTTACCTGCTTTACCCTCTTCTTTACCTGCGTTCTAAAGAGGAACATCTGCTGTTTCCTCAGCTTCCTCCCTCTCTTCACAAAATGCATTCTCCGGTCGCCCACAATTGAAAGAACCATCTAATGGGTAATCAGCCGCGTAAACCAGCCAAATTCATTTTCATCTAAATCCAAAAGAAAGCTTGGTAAGACTAGAAGCTATCGTGTTTCCTATACATTCGTCTGCACCAACTTTGAATAAATTGCATTGGCTGTGCATCAGAGAAATGAGAAGGTATCTCTCACCGCTGTCAGTTACTCAGGCATACTGTACATAGCATTCATAGGCTACATAAAAAAACCGGGCTTCTGACCGGCATCGTCCCCTCAAGCCAATCACCATGATGAGGCCACCAGTTTAAATGAGAGCCGGAAAATTTTCTACCTTTCCGATGTGTTTCAAAGGATGTCGCGAAAAGAAAGTGCTGTTTTTTACTTTGAAAGTGGTAGCTGATAAATTAGCAGAATGTCCTCCAGCTTAACCAAGGTTTTAGAAAAACAACCATGTTGGGACTAAAACAGGGAATGGTAGATCAAACGATTTTATGGAAAATCTTTCTGTTTCATTTGGGAAAATGGATAAAAAAGTGCAAATTAAAGCACACTTCTTAGTAGGTACTTAGTACTGTGGAGTTGTATACATAATTTGAGTGCGGAGTAAAGTCGCAAATTTTTTATTTCCTTTCAGCACACGTCTGCCAAGGTAACGTTGAAAAAATTAAATTTTTAGAGTCGTTTAGAAAGCTATTTTTTGCGACAGTACGCGAGAGGCAACCTCAAACTACAGTAGACAGCCATTGGCACTACTTAATTACGTATCGATAAACCATATCACTTAAGCCACAGTCGTACGTAGCAAGGTACCAATTTACTTTTAATCAAAGAACTACAGTCTTCAAAAAGTACTGTGAACGTTACCAACCACAATCGTCCGCAGTAAGTAAAAACAATATCAGTAAATCGGAATAAGTTCCCACAAGAGTATTATGTATGGAGGCAGACGGTCTCTCAGTTGAAAGTGGTGTTGGTGGTTGCAACACTATTTGAATCGCATGCACCTATGCTTTTCGTTGTGCGCGTCGGTAGGCAGAAAAACCAAAGTGTTTTCTGCCGTGGACGAACAAGAAAGCACTGTAGCTGATAGGTAGCTGATAGAAGATGGCGCAGTGAAACAACGAACAATGTGTTATTGTATAGGGTTATTGATCTGTTACCCCGCTGTAGGTTTCTTAGGGGCTGAGCTATCGCTGCAAACCGAGGAGTACTAAAGAAGGAAATTGGTAATTTTCGAATATCATACGCCTGAATATCTTAATCAGTAACGGAATCCATAAGCGCGGGTCAATTGCGGACAGTTCCGTACAATCCAATCGGTGATATCCTTAAACTATGAGATCACTGTAAATGACCCCCTTCATAAGTCCTGCTCAGCTTTGTCTTACCGCTTTTAATTTTTCAACACTTATGTCCAAAATAGCCATTTATAATCGTATTTTTTCACTTATCATAATTTGTATATTTTGTGGTTAATTTCATACTAAAATCTCGTTGCCATAATGGTGTCGTTCAATAACTGT